TTAGAAGACGAAATACCAGAAGAGGAAGAGGCTGCCCCTGTAGAAGATGAAATACCAGAAGCGGAAGAGGCTGCACCTGTAGAAGATGAAATACCAGAAGAGGAAGAGGCCGCACCTGTAGAGGAAGAGTCTTCACCTGTAGAAGATGAAATACCAGAAGAGGAAGAGGCTGCACCTGTAGAAGACGAAATACAGGAAGAGGAAGAGGCTGCACCTGTACAGGAAGAGTCTTCACCTTTAGAAGACGAAATACCAGAAGAGGAAGAGGCTGCACCTGTAGAAGACGAAATACAGGAAGAGGAAGAGGCTGCACCTGTAGAGGAAGAGTCTTCACCTGTAGAAGACAAAATACCAGAAGAGGAAGAGGCTGCACCTGTAGAAGACGAAATACAGGAAGAGGAGGAGGCTGCACCTGTAGAAGACAAAATACAGGAAGAGGAAGAGGCTGCACCTGTAGAAGAAGAGGCTGCACCTGTAGAAGAAGTAAAAGAGGACGCCAGAAATGTAGTACAGGAAGAGGCCACACCTGTACAGGAAATGGTGCAGGAAGATAGTGTACATGTAAATAACGAAGCACATGAGGAGGTAACAGATGAATACTTCCCTTATGAAGGTAAGACCTTTTTTGATGAAGTACATTCATCAAGAATGGGGCTAAATATGGGATTAATTAAGTAGCAGAAAGGAAAATAAACTCATAGCATAATATACTTTCTAAGGTTTTAAAACATGCTGTGTAACTAATATTGAAAGAGTTTCCAAATTGTCGGTCAGGTTTAAAATAAAATACAACTAAATTAGCTGTGAGGAACTGCAAGAAGATAGTATGCAGTTCAAACACAGCATGTGTTAATCTGATTTATTCAACAGAAGGATACAGGTGTTTGTTTAAACATTTTGCCTAATTGAATAATTTGCTTTATTAGTTACATGGTGTAGAGTTAATTTTACTCAGAACTCAGAACACTTTATTGTTATTATGTGAACATACCAGAACTGTTTGTGGTTTGGTGCAAACCGTTAACACAGAGACGACTACAGTTAACAGGACACAGTGCAAACAGGAATTGAGGACAACGGTCCAGTGCAAACATAAGAGTGCAATAGGGTTTAAATAATAATACAAATAATAATAATAATAATAAAGTAAAATACTGAGAGTTAGTAATGTGTTGTTAAAGTGGTGAATTTCACACCACACTGTTGTTATTTACCAGCATGGGTAAATAATAGCAGGACCTGATGGTGGGGAACCTAATACTCCCAGTGTACTACCCTCAAATAGAACATACATTAGCAGGACCTGAGGGTGGCGATCCTAATACTCCCAGTGTACTACCCTCAAATACAACACACATTAGCAGGACCTGAGGGTGGGGATCCTAATACTCCCAGTGTACTACCCTCAAATACAACACACATTAGCACGACCTGAGGGTGGGGATCCTAATACTCCCAGTGTACTACCCTCAAATACAACATACATTAGCAGGACCTGAGGGTGGGGATCTTAATACTCCCAGTGTACTACCCTCAAATACAACACACGTTAAGAGAATGAAAAAAAATAGGAAAAAGCAAATTACTGTGAAAAAATGTTTTGTTTTGAATGTTTTGTACTTTTTTGCATTCATGGTCATATAAACGTCGCTCATCGTGGATTCTGGTGTCCCATCTGCCGTGATGCATTTTCGGCTTTGATAATGATCCCTAAGATCGATATTGAGTTTTACAAATGGCTGAGGATCTGCACAGAGTTTCACGTTGGATGTATGTGGCATTTTTCTCTTGACAGAAGTTCCTGGAGTGGAATTCCATAAAGACATACCAACAGGTAAATACTGTTTGTTCCTGGTTTATAAAAGTTAGGATGACCTGATAATTTATGTTAGGGAGGTGTTTGAGCTAGAACAGGATTCATAAACTTCCATTTCAATTAAAAGGACCTGGATTTTACTTAAGCACTGAGTTCTTACTTTGTGCTGATTGGTCAGCATCCTATAATCATGCATGTGTCACTAATGTTAATGTGAAACAGCTGGAGGAGTCTTTCAGTCAAGGAAACGAACCAGCAAAAGCACGAGAAGAACTGAACTATTAGGCTGAGCACAGGAACCTTTCAGGTTTAAAGTCGTTTATGAGCTACTCCAGGTTTTACAATGTCCTCCCATCGTGGATTATCTGGTCACCCTAATGAAAGCAAGGCGGTTGCTGCATGTCTAAACGCTAAATAAATAAAGAGAAATGTCCTGCCGTGGCAGTGTAACCTGCACACGCAGCCATTAGCCGTTAGCATTCATTCTATCGCTCAGTCTTTTCCTGTATTTGAGGTGTGCCGTTTCAGGTCAGGAAATGTCCTGCAGACGTGATGGACTTAAAACTTACCGAGTCTCTTTCTGCTTGTCCCTGTTTTCCAGACACGTAAAGCTTTGAGGCCCAGAGAAATCTGATGCTTTGGGCTGGGGGGAGACAAAATTCGGTTGAAAATGAGCCCCCACAATACCACAATCTCTCTCTGGACCAAGGAGTCTACATGGGAATATCACTTTAATTGTTAGATTTTACTTGATTTTGCTTTTGTTTTCTTTATTTCCATCAATTTTCCTTCTGCAATGGTGTGGGAAATTTTCTTAATTTTTGGTAGTATATTTTTGATGGTGACTTTTGATGGTGACTTTTGTCCATTTAATTTTTGTTGAGTTCCAGTTGGACTGTTGGATGCACAATTCTTTCTATAAGGTTAAACTCTACAGTCTGTAGATGTGCATGTTGATCTTAATTGACACATTGAAGTGTCGCAGGGTGATGATGTCACAGGAGAGCTGCGCATTGGATATACAAATGTGAAGGTATTATTCAAAAGCTGCACTGATTTCTCACAGTGAAATATCCTCCACTGAAGTGTTTTATTACCAGTATGTATTGAGTCTTCTCATCTTATTACATGTAAAATATTAAGTATGCTGGCAGGTTAATTCACGACAATCGTCAGGCTGAGCGCTTGCTCAGTAAGAGTGGGGTGCGTTGCTGTCTGTGTGTGTGATTTGTTCAGTAAGGAATTTCTCGGGAACTGTGATCATTGTCACATCTAGTTTAAGGTTGAACATGAGGTTTTGTCTCTGTTTTAAAGATACTTTTTTCTTCTGAAAGCTGCACAGTTGTACTACAGAAGATAGTTGTCTATTGAGCCTCAGCCTCAAAAAGATGACTCAATTTTTTTTTTTGTTTATTTCATATGTTGCATTTGCTGGTCAAGAATTATAGGTAAACTACTATTGTCAGTAAGCCCCTGACATTGTTTTTTTCCCTGTGACTGTGTATCTCATCCAATGTGTACAATGTGTACAATCTGCCCAATGTGTAATCCTGCCCCTGTTTAAAATGCAGTTCTTAGCTGGCAGGAGTGCCTATGCACAGCTGTCAGGTAGGACCCCAGAGAGGTGTCCTGGATGCTGCCTGTGCAGTGCTGTCAGGTAGGACCCCAGAGAGGTGTTCTGGGTGCTGCCTGTGTGTGAGTGTGGTTCAAGACGTGAACTAACCCTTTTGGGGCTTGCTACATCTATTTATCAGAAATAAATCAAACTTGAACATAATCTTTTTTGTTTTTTTCTCTAGGTATATTAATTGTAAAGTGAGTTTACAGCCAGCGATATTGCTAACCATTGTGAATGATCACTCCTTTGTCCTGATGTGGGACTTACGATGGATTTTGTTAGTCAGGTACAGCCAGTGTGGCTTAACTACGAACCTGACGCTTGTGAAGGAATCCCGGTCAGTGCATCCCACTGGGCCCACTGTGTGTTTCTTTGCTGGGCTTGTCTGCTGCTTTGTTCCCACCCTGCTTCTGTGGACATTGTGATCTGGGGCCTGCCAGAATAAATTGTAGTCATGTGACAGGAAGTGCTGACATGCAGTTCTGTTCTGATTGGTGGAGGCCAAGGGCTTTATTTTGATTTATGTATGAGGATGTGTTAGGTTTAAGTTTTTTTTTCCTTCATGCCTTACTATGTCATGTTCTCTATTGTTATTTGGCTGTGAAAGTTCAGGTGGTTGTGTGCTTGACAATTAGGATTTTACAGTATGCATTTGCTCCAGAGTTTTGACACTTTTCTAGATATTTTAAATTTATTTCCCCCCCTCCTCAAGTTATATATATGAGATTCAGGCATGGCGTTTATATGCAATATCACTTCCAGGGAAAGATGTTGAACAGCTGAACAGCTAGCAAAAAAAAAAACACTATAGAATAATTCTTACTGCAGTTCATATTTGAACAGAGGTTTACAAAATCAGCATATTTCGTCAATGGTTTACATAGTTCTGCTGTAGAAGTGTTACTTTAAATTATTCTGTGTTTGCATTGGAAGTTTCCCTGTCTTTCAGCTCCAATAAAGGTTTTCAACAATTTACTCCATTTGTGCTTTTTTGCCTGGTAATTTTCAGTTTTAAGAACATAAGAAATTTACAAACGAGAGGGGGCCATTCGGCCCATCAAGCTCGTTTGGGGAGAACTTAACTAATAGCTCAGAGTTGTTAAAATCTTATCTAGCTCTGATTTAAAGGAACCCAAGGATTCAGCTTGCACTACGTTATCAGGAAGACTATTCCAAACTCTGACTACACGCTGTGTAAAGAAGTGCTTCCTCAAATTCAGTTTAAAATGTTCTCCCGCTAATTTCCACCTATGGCCACGAGTTCTAGTATTTAAACTAATATTAAAGTAGCCATTTGGCTTTAATTTAGGCTTCAAGCACAAAACAAATATAAAACAAGTTGTTTCAAATTTCCTGTGAGGGTTAGGGTTAGAATTGCAGGTTCGTTTACTGTTTGCTTGAAACACGTGACTCAGCCTGTGTCTACTGCAAAGACCAGTATCATTGATTCAGATAATCCTTTTTTGCGTTTATTCAGAAGCATTGCTTGGTTTGGCAAATGAATCATTTAGGATGCGGAAGTCAAAAGTTAATAGCTGCATGTTCATGATTATAAATACCACAGACGGGACTTAAATCACATAGTCATACATTAGATGGCTCCCAGTACGAAACAGACCTGGTGAGAATGCTGATCTATTCTGTGTAGTACCTCTAGGGGGCGCCAAGGGAGTCTAATTTATGCACAATGTTTATGTATATGGCCGTTTAAACTCTATCCAACAAATAATTCCTCAGATTTTTCCATTTTAATTTTATTTTCTGTCTGTTGAATTGTACACTGACTGGTTAATAACTGGTGTGGGCCTCCCAGATTGTGGAATCTTATTTGTTTTGGTTGGAATCGCTATCTAAACATCATACACTTCATTTTCAGACATGGTACCTAAAGCAGCATAGAATTTATTCACTATTCATAAGTACCCAACTGAAATGTATATAAGCAGGTCCTGACTTAGAACCTCTGCACACTTAAAAAATGATCCGAGCTCCAAAACCTGTCCTGCAGCAGATCACATTGCCTAAATGCTGTCACCCTCGGCAGCTTTCCAGTTGAGTTTGGATCGACTGTTTAGTGATGTGACTCTTTATTGCCCTGTTATAACAACTAAAAAGCTGAACCTGACCGGATGGTGTGTGGCATTGCGTTCGCAGTCGGACACGAGCGGAGACAGGAGGTTTTCCGGGGATTTTTGTGGAGTCCATGTGCGATTCCCCGAAACTGGGACAAGCTGCTGAATCACACCCAATTATCAGATTCTGTCACTCAAACGCCTCAAGATCTATCTGCTCCTGGAGCACCTGTACTAGCTGACACTGAATGTTACACTTTAATGTCACACTTGCTGCTGATTTGAATCGTTGTTTTATTAGGTTCTTGCTTTGCTGTTAGATTTTGTGTCTTGCTTACATTTGGACCTGGGCGTTCATTAGAAGCTCAGCCTAGCTGCACTTACGCCTAGTCCACTCCTTGACAGCGCTGTAATGCGCGATTTGCGTCAAACAAAAGTGCTAAATAAAATAAATGTGAATATCAAATTAATGTCAGGCAATGTAAAGCAGTCCATATTATTTATGACTATGATGAGTCTACGGGTGACTATTGTAGATCAGCTTAAACCAGAGGTGACTCAGCTTTGCATTGACCAAAAAGACAGGTAGATCTTTGACCAAAAAGACAAGTAGATCTTTGACCAAAAAGACAAGTAGATCTGTTGTAAGGCTCTCATCTGGAGCTTGGGAAGCTCATGTGAGTGATTTCCTGGAGTCGATGCACAGTGACAGCCGCTGTCTGTGGGTTTGCCTTGCGGACATCCGCTCATTCGCCGCGGCGTTTCCGCGAGTGTCTGCTCCGGGCCCCGTCACGTCCAGTCAGCCTCGGCTCACCATCAGGTCCAGCCGCTGCCCTGTGCCAAACAGAAACCCGGGGTCCTGGACAGAGTTTCGGAGAGTTCTGGGCTTTGGTGGGCGAATCCGGGCCTCACTGCCCAGAAGGTCAGGCTGCTTTCGGTTCCGGCTGAGCTCTAAATTAGCCGTGATTAATTTGTTTACTCAATCCGTGGCGTGTTTTTGACAAACCCTGAAAAAACTGGGTGCATTTGAATTATGGCCCAGAGCACCTACTGCTGCTACCCTTAAATGTACATGTTATTCCTGCTGGTAAATGGCACAAATCCCAGGGATAAAAACTGGGATGTATGTCCAGCATAATCCACACTTTTACCTCTGCCTTGTGCCCTGTGATAGACTGCCGTCCTGCCCCGGGTGTACCCCTGCCTTGTGCCCTGTGATAGACTGCCGTCCTGCCCCGGGTGTACCCCTGCCTTGTGCCCTGTGATAGACTGGCGTCCTGCCCC